ATCTTGGACATAACCCTTGACTAGTCCGTTCCAGCCAATATTGCAAAGTTAATGCACATTGACAAAACAAACATTGTCAGCCCTCTTCCTAGTTTAATGCTGTAAACAACGCCGAAACAACTTTTGCTATAATGAAACATGATTAGACGGGTGGGTCTAAGGAATGTTGGACCGCATGGATGGTACAAGTGTATGCCATCCTGCAATAACATATTACAACACGTGCTATTATATGAACACGAGCCGAATGTGCGTGCATGTGTGTGCAGGAAAATCCATTAAAGATAAGATAGGCCAGTCAGTATGAAAATAGAAGGGACTCATACTTTCTCCTACTTTCATCCGCTGTAGAACATCCAGCACTACCGTGATTCCGTATGTCACCGAGAACATTTTGTCGTGCTTTGAGAAACTGAACCAGCTTTGCATTTTGTTTCAGATTTTCATTCTAGAGAAAAACAACAAGGAAAGTATCAACCTCGTACCCAGGCTCTTTCCTCGAGAAGCGTAGAAAGTTAATTGTCAGACTGAGAAGAGCGAGAAGGTAACGTGGTAATCATTACAAGTGCGTGTCAGTGGTGTAGTCCTGGAATGTTAACAAGGGGGCTCTCCAAAAGTGTCCAGAATTGGCGGCGGGGGGGGGAGGGGTACAACATGATATTTTGGAAATTCTAAATTCTGTTGGGGTTTATTCCAGTAATTGTGGGACAAACATTCGACATTATTCTTATTAAAAACAATTGTCTCTGAAAGGCCATTTCCTGGATTTTGGAGGAACATTTGACAGAATTCTGATGGTGAGAATTTTGAGAATTTAGCGTCACATTTGTATTCTGTGTCAGTTCTGGAAAGTGTCACCACGGAATTTGTAAGTAATCAAATCAAAATCAAATGGCAAATCAAGTTTATTTCACCAGGATAGTCTCGTCAGTTCAAAAGAACTGGTATCAATGTGAGCGGCAGTGAGCCCTAAAAAAATGTTTGGCAGTATTGTAAAATAATTACTCGGGATCGGCCAACCAACTCCTCAAGAGGGAAGAGCCTGGGAACGAGATCGGAACATTACCCACCTGCAGATGGCCACAGGAAGTATCCAATAACTGTTTCTGGGCATTCAACAACAACTCGACAGTCTCTTGTCGCTCGACGTCCTCATCTCGTTTTTATCCTCCTTTATATACGTCGAGCGCGTTCCGTATTTGCCTCGCGATCTGCGATCTTACTAGAAGCTGTACGAATTAACTCTAGCTTCTTGCATCCGCGCTTTGTTCTCTTTAGTCTGGTCCATCTTCATAACTTTTTCCACGTCTTTATCTCTCTGTGGGGAAAAATTAAAGACATCTAGACATATACCTCACTATAGTTCTACACTCCTTCACTGAGGCTTTAATTTTAGTTTAACACGCGGGCTGTATACCTTGAAAATGTAAGGCATTACGGGTAATTGGTGAAGCAAGGGAAGCTGCGCGCATTCAGTAAATTACCCGCATGCCTGACAATTCGTGGGTATATAGCCCCGCATGTCAAACTAAGAACACCTCTGCGAAGGAGATATAGCCCGCGTGCAGTCGAGAACTAAATAGTCCATTCAATTTCCGTCGAATTTAATTCGTTGAATTTATTGCTGCTGAACTTTCTATTCGATAGAAGTGGCTGGTTTTAATTAATCGACACAGCACAAGTATTATACAAGAACTTGTGGTTAGCGAAAAATAAGATCTGCACAATTACGAAAAATATTTGCTATTTATGTGAAATGGGGATTTGCTATTTATGTACCATGGTAACAATGTGGCCTAAGCGATCAAATTTTCGACTAAAAATAAATTTATTAACATCTCCTATTTTTCCCAAAAATTTTGGGAAAACCAATATCTGTATAATTTAAGTCTAGAATTTTTTTCTCATACCATTCTTCATATCAAAAAACGTCCCAAATTATTTTTTGGTAATTTTGCAAATTTTGGGGCCCCTTAAAACTGGGGACCCGGGGCAAATTGCCCCTCCTCTGAAAGGCCCTGGCTGTCACAGTTCTATGTTTAATTTCATACATCCTCACCACAATTTTGCTTGGATGTTTTGGCTGTGTTCTCTTTTTGTGGCATATTGGTATTATGTCCACAAAATCAACGATCATTTACCAGGACCACCTCGTTCGAGTTTCATATTGGGTCATCTCCCAGACATGTGGAAATACAAAGCTGAAATTGGCAGAACGACGAGCGAGTTTCTACTGGGAAAACGACTCGAATACGGGCCAATATTTATAATATATTATTTTTTATTCACAAGCCTATTGTATTTCTGGGAGACGCTACCTATTTGCGACATGTTTACATAAATAATCATGCCAGCCTGTTTAAAAGTTCATTTTTCTATCCTCAATTTGATTTTGTTTATGGTGGAGGGGAGCTGGTTATGGACTGGTATCGAATACAAATGAAGTACCATGGCGCAAGCGACAGCAACTTATGAACCCAGCTTTTCACTGTAAGTGTCTGAATGACTTCATGGATAATTCTAATAATGTTTGTGACATATTTGACTCACCTGGATAGAGTTGTTGATGCTGGTAAGCTGACCAGTATGGTCCGGGAATTTACAAAAGTCACTTTGGAAGCTATGAGTATTAATATCAATACCCTGCACGCTATTGAGGATCCCACCCTCCTGGGGATATTCCAGTTCACGTTGTTTCAGAATGCTATCAAAAAGAGAGCAAATTAATGCAGCACGATTTCTCACGAAATTTGCCTCTGATTGTACCACCACTTGGATGAAGGACATTGCTGACGATAAAGCCGTCCCTGATGACTTATTGAGCCTCTTGATTAAAGATGGCAGTTGACATTGCATGACATAATTGATGAGTTCTTGGCCATATTTATTGCCGGACAAGAGATAACTGCAAATTCATTGTCATTTAATTTTACGTGATTTGTTCCGATTTATTTTAATTTTGGGATAGGTAATACGACCTCTACATGCATCTGGAATCTCTCGTTTGTGGCTTACTTATGAGCATTATTTATTTAATGGATTTCTTATATCTTCAAAGGGGACTGGAAAGTAGACCATGCCGTGAAATATTGTATATTATGGTGCACGCATATAATGCGTGTGCTGTTTTGTGTCTTTTGCATGTCAATCTATTGGAGAAT